TCCTCTGTACGACAGAATAGGCTATCTAGGAGACTTAGATTGCCCGATGCTTCTACGGCTTTGGTAGAGGGAATAGGAATGAAAGATACAGAGTATGTTTATTGACTAAATTTCAAGCTTCCAACCAACTAAAATTCTTTACAATTTCCAGAAAAGCAATTGAATTTGTTTTATTAACAAAACCACCAACATCGTGAATGAGAGGACTCAACCGGCAACACCGGCCATTCCCCCCGAGATGCAAATTTCGAATGCACCAGCTAAGTTGCCATCACATGCGTGTCAAAGCTAATACAAGCCTCAAATAAACATAATGCGCGAAAGATAAGGGTTCCGACTACTAAGGCAAATCCAATGTGAGTGTGTGACCCTCGGGTGAAGGATGATGTGAGAACAAAGTTAAGCAAAGCGCGGCATTGAAAAGCATGGTAAAATACATCACTAACTGATGAATAATTAATTGATTTAAACCTCGCGATCAAGTATGACCCAAACTCACAAGTGAAAAGGCAGAGAAGAAAAGTAGTAACTGGAGAACTTGATACTTTAGCGAGTCATAAGAAAACGGCCAACAGTGAATAACAATTATACAGCACGCCGAGTTGACAAGTCGTTGATAATTAATCAGACGAATGAATCGGAAAAATTTTGTTCGGATAGAATTAGGAAGAAACGAAGAAGGGAACCGATTAGTAAAGGGAAATGAACTTACTCTCACGGCTAATTTGTTTGAAACTTTTGCAGTCAGCGCCATAAGATGAGGAATCGGAGTCTGAGATAGACATGGGGCTGCCCTCTGCCTCACTCTGCCCACGACAACCGCTCGATCGCTCAGGGAGGGGAAGAGGAGGGAGATCGTGGAATTAACCGGAAGCGGGTACGTACCAGAAAGAGGGGAGAGAGGGAGAGAAGGACGATGCTTCCTTTAATTATAAGTTAAATTGATTATGGTTTTTTCTTTTTAAGGTGGGGAAAGAGAAATAACTTTGTTTTACAATTATTTGGCTTGATGGAGCATGACGTGTTGAATTTTCCAACGCTGAAGATTCAAGTCCTTCTTGCAGAATAGGTCCGGTCATGGTTTGGCATCGCCCAATTATTTCTTTTATGCCGGTTCTTTAGCTCAGAACCGATGCCATATGATCTTTTTCTTTCTCTACTCATCTTTTCTTGCAAGAACATTTGGGCGTTTGATAAGTATTAAAAAGAACTAAATATATATAATAATAATTGTAACAGTGAGAGATTAAGTAACAGTATCAATTGGGTGTTTGATTTTAACTCAGTGATTTTGTTTTTGATCTCACACAGCCTAATCTGCTGCTGTAACTAAGCAGGATTAGATTCACGCACCAAATCCGCATCCTGGTAGTTATAGAGGTAGAAATGCGGTCGAAAGGTTGAAGGAGGTCTTAAACGAGAAGTAGCTGAACCAATGGCAGAGGCCACCGACCTCAATCTCATTCACTCTAGCTCTATTAGCTGGGAAAGTAAACAACCTCCGTGTGCTGTCTTCCTAACTTCTCTTGACCTCGTTACAAATTTACAGTAGCAGTTTCAGAGAACAAACACAGAAACGCCTGCCCTGTGCTTGCTTCTGAAGGTTATTGTTGTTGTTTTTGGATTACACTCGATGAAATCATGATTTATGACCGTGCATACCTATTTTAAATAGATTAAAAAAATTAGTTAAATTAGTTATTTATAATAAATAAATATTGTTTTTTTTAAAATATTCTTACAAATTAAGTATATTAGTTAAAAATATTATTATTACAATAATTATCTTAAAAAATAATAAATAAATATAAATAAAAGTAAAATAAAATCTTATATTTAAAGCTAAAATAAAAATTAAATAAAATTTTATAATTAAGATTAAGATTAGAGGTAGGATCTTGCAAAGATGAGCGCGGGATAGAGGGGACAAAGGGAAGACTTTTATTTGATGCACGTGTAAATATAAAAATGGAGTATTTATTCGATTTTTTTAATCCTAAAGGAGTCTAGAAGCTAGGCACGGATGTCAAACTGTCAACTCTTTGTTCTTTCCAATTCTTAGCTGATGTTCTGACATTTAATATTAATAATGTCATTTTTGTTCATTTCTCACGCGGCATTTAAACACATTTTATTGTCAATATCTTTTCTTCCGAGTATATTAGTTTGGAGGCCTATCAATCAGACTCTCAGGCTCTCCCTTTCATGATTTCAGATCTTGGCTTCAATTTGTTCTGTTGACTCTTTATCATGAAGGCACCAGCAACAAATCTAAGGTATAATCATAAATCATATTTCTGAATTTACTTTGGCAGGAGAGGAATCTTGCTTTACATGAAGGTACCGTTACACCTCCGAAGCAAGTGATTAAAGAGTTGCAGGCTAAAATTAGCTACTGTCAAATGGCTTTTTTAACTAGGGGTCTATTTGGAATGGCTTATAAATAATTTTTTAACTATGATTTGCAGAATACGAGGTAAGTATGTGAGAAGAGTTTTATCTCAATTTAAATGAAACGTGCTTACAAGTGATTTCTATCGCTCTTCTTTTTTTGACTCACTAGTAAAAGTAAACAGTCATCATCAATCTCAAAATACTATTTGTGATTCTAAATATAAGAGCTAGTTAACTAATTTGAGTAAATTAAAAAAATAAATTAAGTTAATTATCTGTAATAAATAAGTTTTGTCTTTTCTAAAATATCTTTCCTAATTAAATTTATTAGCTATAACTACTATTATTAGAAGGATTATCTCCAAAATAAATAAATAAATATAAGAGACAAAATAGATTAGAGTTTTATATTTAAGATCAAAACAAAAGTCAAATGAAATCTTATATTAAAGACCATAAATAATACATTATTAGGTAGTGACTAAAATATTATTCTTTGCAAGAAGAAAAGGAAGAGTGAGGTCAGCTGTCTAGTTATTATATTACTTCATAGCAAGCCCATTCAGGCTCTCATGATCACTGGGAAAACTAGGGGTATTCATGGGACGGGACGGGACTGAGACAGGCTCGTCCCGGTCCCGTCCAGGTGAACAGGGATGGGACAGGGATTTTGTCCGGTGTCCCATCCCGTCTCGGTTCTGTCTCGGTCTCGTCGGAACCGGGACGTCCCACTTCCCCCTTTTTAAAAAAAAAAACTATAATTTTTTATATGAATTTTTTTTAATGTTCTAATACTTTTTTTTTGGGCCTCTAAAGATAAAAAATATTACGTAGAAAGCTCAATTATATAGCATAAAAAGTGTGTAAAAATAATATTTTAAAAAAATATCGTAAAAAAACACTATATATTATTTTGTGAATTATTTTATTAAGAAAGGAGATTTTGTTGAGATAATATTATAATTTAAGAGCTACAAATCACCATAAAAACAAGAGTTATTATTAACAAGTAAATTGAATAATCTAATAATAATTATTAATAAATAATTTTTAAAAGAAAAAAAATTCCGGGACGAGACGGGACAACCCCGTCCTGCGTCTTGTCCTATCCCGTTTTTGTCCCGTCCTGAATTTTTTTTTGTCTCGTTCCAAACTCACCGGGATCGGGACCGGGACGGGACGGGACAAATTGAATACCCCCATGGGAAACCTTGAAACAAAAAATGTTCATTCCATTTTGCCTGAGACCAGCACTTCATTGAGTCCAAGGTTAATGTCTTTGCTTGAATATCCAATTTCAGCCTCTGCATCTGGCCTTTGTGGAGAAAGCTTTGACACTTAATCAATATAGAGGACCCTCTCACTGTAACGTTTTGAAGGATATCTGTTATTTGCTTTTCTTTTTTTAATTCTGTTTTCATGGGAAGTATTAGTTCACCTTTTTCTTTGATCTGCTTTATTTCTAGTTTTTGTTTTTCTTCTATTATTGTATTTTGAACTTTTCTTCTTACTTAATATCATTTTGCCTTTATTTAAAAAAATTATAATTCTTACTGGATTAGAACAGGATTTATAGGGAATGGATTGTTGACCATGTACAGTAAATAGATGGAAAAACATGAAAACTAAAAATAAGCCCGAATCAGGCCCCTGAAAAGCCAAGCCCGATCCATTAATACCGGGAGTAACCGGCGCTCATCGCTAACGCTCGATCTTCTTTGTAACAAAAAAGAAAAAAGAAAAAAAGGACAAAACACCGCAGCCTCTGTGAAGATCGGAGCGTAATCCATTGGCATTTGGCAAATTAATTATAAAAAAAAAAAGGATCAGAAATGACCAGCTGACTTGTGGCTTTGTGGCTCCCTGGACGGTAAGTTGTTAGGTTCCGGGCACCAAATGCCGTTGACCAAAAACAAAAACAGATCAGGAATGTTCTGATCAATTTAACACACTTGCAATATCCTCAGAATAATCGATTTGTGAGCATAGGGCATAATCCGCGGAGTCCACCTTATACATGTATTCGTCTGTGTTTAATTAACCTTAATTTTTACGTAATTATTGGGGGTATAAAAATTAAAAAGCAAGCCATATAGTAGTCCAAGTAAGGAATTCAATTGTTAATAAGTCCTGTTTACTTGTTAACATTTGGTATTTACATGTTACCTTGCCGTATTTTGTCACAAATAAAATTCTGTGAGTAATCAGATATCTTAAACCAGACTTCTATGTAATTTTTCCAAAATCAACCTACTCTGTTGGTTCGATTGAAAAAATGGTTGGCTGGTATCTGTGTTAGCTATCACAAATGTTATGTATTAACTTCATGGCAAGCTCGCATTCGCATTCACCCATGCAGTTAATTACGCTGACTGATTCCTCACTGTGGGTTCGAAGATACGGTTACAACCAGAAAATTTATTTAAACCGCCCAAAAATCTCTTCATCCGCAATCCAAACGTTTAAACCCACGGGAATCTCTTCCACTTGCCTTTAAGATCTTTATCTTAGCATTTTTAAGATCTCCATACATGTATGGGCGAAACAAACGCATAAAAGTCCAAAAGAAAGACGACAATAAAGGACCACTGTAGGGCGAAACCGGATGAAGCCAAATTGTCTATTTTGACCCAAAAATCTCAATAAATAGACATCCCAGCATTATCTTTTACGCAACACACATTTAACGGGGAAAAAAAAGAAGAAGGAAACCCCCCGTTTCTCTCATCTGCCCCAAGGTAATGTAACACCACACAAAAGTAACAATGGAAAACTCTCCACTTGTTCTTTTTCTCTGATGATTTCAGATCAAATGTTAAAATTTCAAAATCTCAAGGTAACGGGGTAGAACCTTTATCTTCGACGTTACTGTGGTAATGACCATTGCTGCTAAAGTTCTTGCAGAGCACCTTACACTTAACCACACCGCTGGAGACATAAAACCCCGGTGAAATCATTATCCGGACCATGCTTGAGACTAACTCGTTACTCTTGTCTCCACTCATGTCTTCCATGTAAACCGGATCAAACCTCACTCCTTTGTCCACCCTGAAAATAGGCAAGCTTGGGTGGACCGAGTTGGCCAGCAGGTGCACCAGCCAGACGCTCTTGGATGCGCCGAAGAAAGCTTGCAAGAGTGGCTCTGGCCAAGCTCTGTTCCAACCCAACATTGCCACTATCTCACTCATTTTCCGATCACAGAATCTGCTGTACTCCTCACTGAAGTGTCTCGTCCCCTTGCAGAGTACCTCTTCCCATGTTAACCCATGAAGCATATTAAAGGACGCAAAGTTTACCTCGCATCGTTCCTCTGGATTGAGTATGAAATTCGACGCGTTCTTTTGGAACCTAACCGACTCAAAGTCCTCGTAGAAAGCTTTATTTAACAGGGCTTCTAAGTAGAAAAGCAAGCTCCTGGAGTTGTTCGAAAACGAGATTTTAATATCGTAAGCTTGAAGAAGTAAGGATACTCTCTCGTGCACCTTGCCTCCCATGTGCCTTAGCTGCATAATAAGAGAACGGCTCAGGAGCCTTACTGAAGACCGGGCTTCCGAGACTGCGACCATGAAGTGTTCGACTACGTCGTTTTCATGGAAATTTTGGGTCTTAGCCATTCTATACGGCGAATTATTACTGCATTCGTCGAGCCCAGATTTTAATTTGTGGCAATACATCTCTAGTCTGTTAAGTTTCTTCTCTAATTCGGCCATGGAGTATTTGAGCCTAGAAGATTCTGAAATAGCCTCGTCTCTTTTCCTAGTAGCTTGAATCAACTTATTTGAAAGCTCCGCCAGCGCAATTTTCCACTGCTCCTCTCTACTTGTTGACATAGCCTCGGTAGACTTTGGACTCTTGCGCGTCAGCGGGGAAAAGATGAACTTGAAAATCCCGTTTGGGCTTGCTAATGACGGCGACTGCTTGTTCGATCCATTATTATCCATGGGAACGACGATGATTTTCTCACGAGAATGCGGGCGGCACTTGCTGCACAGGACGGAGCCATCTTCTCCGTCGACGGACCACGCAGATTCAGACCGTTTCTTGTGATTGGACCTGCATATTTTGTCGGTCTGGGGGAGTGGGGTTGAAGGATGGTGCTTCGGAGTAAGACCTTGATCAACACCTGGGGTTGCTCTGCTCTGGCCTCTGTCCACGGGTAACATCCTAAAATTTCTGTTGAAGGACTTGGAGGGTCAGGTGACCTGGAAAAGACTTAAGGTGACTTTAGTGATGACCTTAAAAGAGATCGAGATCAGGTAGGACACAGGACTAAAAGGGTCGAACGGGATGGCGTGAGGGAAAGTCTATTGCACACACAAAGGTGAAGAGCTCAGACAGGAGAGAAGGCGAGGGAGGAGATTTGGAAGAAGGAGGAGAAGACGAGGATGGAGCCATTCCATAATGTTATTGCATTTCCGGGTTGGTGCATTTATCTGCTATAAGCGGGGATCAATGCGGAGAAAGACGCACGGGTTATTTAAACTGTGATTGCGGGCACAAGCGTCGTGGTTTTCTCTGCTATCACTGTCTTTCATTTTCTACATGGCAATTTCGTCGGCACGTAATCATGATCCCGAGCAAGTGACAGGTGGGCAGGTTCTGCCAACTGGGAAGGGCCTGATTTAATTTTTGTCTTCAGTGGGTCTTTAGGAAATAGGAATCTCTCCAAGACAAGCCAAGCCGTCGTCTGATCATCCCTTTTCGAAAATTTCATTGTCTTAGCCTTGTGCTGGCAAGTTGAAACGGACAATGGGATGGCTTGATCACGATTAACGGGTCAAGCATAATCTCTTTTTGACCAGGCAGGCAATGAAAGCCCGCAAGAGAGGGAATTGTTGGAAAGGAGAAGCAAGGCGAAGACGGAAGACAAAAACTATCGAGTTTAATGGCCGGAGAAACAGAGAAACGTGTAGGCGAATGAGATGCGTGGGGTGGAGTGGGGTGGCATTTAATTCAGGCAATATGGGTGATGGAGGGCAGAACGAGAAATAACGAGCAACAACTAATAACAACATTTATTCCTGTTGCGGGGCACCAAGCGACCGAATGCGTCGCTATTGGGCGGGTTGGGTTGAGCTGGGGACGGGAATGGATTAGTGCATGTGAAGGTATTAAATAAGAGCGAGAGAGCAGAGAGCAGTGAGGATGGGGCAGGGTGGTCCATCCCGGTCTGGCACCCCTGCCAGCGAAGTTGGCCGCTGCCTTGTGTCATGCAACTTTACCTCTTTCTAGGGATCACATGCACGTGTCCCCACCTTCTTCTCTGTTCTGCAACTGACACATAGCACTGATGTTCATTGATGCCCCTGCCCCGTGCGATCCCATTCCCACCATGCCCCCGCATGCACGCCCGGCCTATATGTGTTTGCCAATAATGCAAAATGTACTATATGTTCCCATTTTAGTTATGCCTTTAATAACTGTATTCATTTATTTGCCGTAGTTTTAGTTTAACCTCTGCTATGAAGAAATGTCGCCAAATAGCAAAAAATACAACACTGATACACGTAGATTGCTGATTATTTTGGCCTAACGTTATTTTCATCGTCTGAAATCTAGCACGATTAAAATACATAATAATTTTAATTACACATGTCATCATTTCTTTGACGTAGTCTACAGAACATGTTCTGCTCTGCAGAACATCCATCCGCAAACAAAATGAGGAACCGGTTTGAAATGAGCACTCTAAACTCATTAGATATTGATCATTCAGATTTGATTTAGACGGTTTAGATTTTATTTTTATTTTTTTAGAATAATTATTTTAATGAGTTTACAATTTAAAATAAAGATAACCTGTCAACTATTATTTTCTCAAAAAAATATTTTTAATTTTTAAACATGATTGATTAAAAATTTTGAATTTGGATCATTCATTAAAGTGCGTGGTTCCACAAAATGGGGGGTTATAATTCATAAGCACTGAACAGATCCTCCGGCCTAACAAGAAGCTGGCAAATTTCACCCGAAAAAAAAAGAAGGATAAATGCCAGGAGGAAGCAAGAAAACGCTTTGTAGAGTGGGGGGCCAAAAAAAAAGAAAAGAAAAGCAAATGCATTCTCATAGATCCAGAGTGGGGCGTCAATAGAGGGTGTGCGCGCTGCAAGCATCCAAGTTAATTTCACGTGAACTTGAGTCTGCCAGCATAATACCACTGAAGATATAGTAATTTAAAAGTTAATTATAAACTCTCCAAATAAAAAACTAGAAAGTTTAAACTTTTTTTTTGGCCAAAATGGAAAGTTTAAACTGAAGATATTCTCTTGGATCTCATCGTTAAAAAAAATTAAAAATGAAAGTTAATATCCGCAGGCCATTCTTTCATCGGCCGAAAAACGAGGCCAACGGCCCAACCCCAGTTATTCACCGAAAAACAAAGGGGAAACCAGCCGAGTAAAAATGCAAGCGCCTAGCTAGTCAGAATTGAGCGGAGAAAGACGCATCCAATTGAATCCTTGTTTGGCTCGTCGGGGTTAGCCTGATCCCATTCATGCTTCTGGTCATATTTTTGGGTGATTAGTTCGTTTATTATGTCAAATTCTCGTAAACTAACCCAGGTTTATGGCAAAATGAGAGGCAAAACTCATTATGTTAATCCCTCCATTATTGATATTATCATAACATGAGCATGATTGAGATTGTGAACTTTACTTGTTTTTAATTTTCACGTTACCGCAGCTTGGCTGTATGATAGCAAATCTAAACTTTTGTGACCATGTACATTTTAAGCAGCTGATGTGCTGTTTATCTATAACACTTTCAATAGAAATAGACACTAATGAACCCAAGGGCTCAGGTCAGATGTCGTAAAACCCGCCTTTGGTTGGCTGGGCTGATCTTGCCTTCATCTCCCTTTCTTCCTTATGGTGAACAAAAAGACAGACAGAATTGTTTTGATACCAACAGTTCGTCGCTGATCTATCTCATAACAATATGATGCGGGAAATTTGGCCCATGTTCTTGTCGATTAGATAGAAGCAACCATATGGGTGCACTGTTATCTAACCCTCTTTAGTAATTTATAGAGATTAATTAAGCTGGAACTCCTCTCCCTCTTTTACCTCATTGAGAAAAGTTTAAACCCCTCAAATGTGAGATTTGTGTGCCCACCCCGTCCCCTCCCCCGGCAAAACACCTTTTGGTTGGTAGTCGCATTCTCTGGCTTCAGGAATCTGGATGTCAATGGGGACATCTTATTATATTCTAACATCCAAGATAATAGGATGCTGATGATGTGTGTGTGTGTATGTATAAACCATTCCTTAATATAATTACTTGGTTTTATTACTTTCAGATGGGACTTTATTACATAGTTTCATTCTTTGTTGCACTTTTAAATGCAGTTTTGTTCTCATTTCTTTAAAATCATTGAATTTTCAACTTGTTAAGATATGTGTTCTGTATATTATTGTAATTATCTCGATTGTTAGGAGGTTAAGTAAGACTTTTGACCGTTGGACCAATGTCTATAAATAGAGGTCCAAATATGTTCGGTCAAGTGTGTAATTCAATGGGCTTTTAGCCTAAACTATCAATGAAGTCCAGATCGTTCTGTCTTGAGTTCTCTAGCCCATCTTAACATGGTATCTAGAGCACGGTTGTTCAGGCCAGAGGTCCAAGAGCCTGATTCAGAGTAATCCTCTATCAGTCTGTTTAGTCAATCACGACGCCGTCGTCGTGGAAAAGGAATACACAGCAACGTGCTGTGCACTGGAGTCCCATCTGTGAAGGATCGCCCTCGCCGTTTTGTTTCAATTCATGGCTTGAGTTCGCGATCGATCTTGAAGCATTCTTTCAAAAAGGTATCCTGCCGTCTTGCTCTGTCAGTTTTTTGCACGACGGATTTTCTTGAAGATATCGTCCAGAAGTTAATTGGTTCTTTGGTAAAGATTAATCCCTTTTCATCATCTTTCTGCTATCTTCCTCCCTCTTATTTTTCTTTTCTTCAACCATGGGAAAAGATCAAGAAGCAACCCATCCGTCCACCAAGTCCACTATTGATTTCACACATCCCTTATATTTACATCCCTCCGACACCCAATCCCTCACATTGGTTCCTCAGCTTCTAAAGGGGACCGAGAATTACGAAATTTGGAGTAGATCCATGCGATTAGCATTGTTTGCCAAGAATAAACTTGGTTTCGTTGATGGATCTTGCCTCCGCCACCAGCAAGAGTCATCACACCAAGATATTTGGGACCGATGTAATGCTATTGTCCTTTCTTGGCTCCTTAACTCCGTTGACAAGCAGATCGCTCCTGGGATCATTTTTTCCGATAATGCTCGCTCCGTATGGCTTGACTTGAAGGAACATTTTCATAAGGCTAATGGCTTGCGCATTTTTGCAATTCACAAGGCCGTCATCTCCTTATCTCAGGGCGCCATGAATGTTTCTGAATATTTCACCAAGCTCAGAAATTTATGGGATGAGTATGACGCCATCGCCCCCCAACCCACTTGTAGTGTTCCACGACACAGCAATATGCCCAAATGATTCAACAGCAACGCCTCATTCAGTTTCTTACCGGACTCAACGAGATTCATAATCAAGCCAGAACACAAATTCTACTCCAAACTCCTCTACCTTCCCTCAATCAAGCATACTCTATTATCTGTCAAGATGAGTCTCAACAGCAACTCTCGTCTTATCCTGTCCCCTCACCGGTTGATAATGCCACCATGGTTGCACGGGGCGGTCGACAAGGAAGAGGCCGAGGAAGGGGGAGAGGACGGTCACAGGAGGAATGCACTTATTGTCACCGAAAGGGACATTCAAAGGATCATTGTTATCATCTTGTGGGCTTCCCTCCTAATTTCCGATCAAAGCAAACCCAAGCATCTACCACCGTTCATACTTTTAATTCCTCTCCTTCTACTTCTGTCCTCCGACCTGAACAAGCATCCATCACACAAGAGCAGTATGATCAGATTCTTAAACTTCTTCGAAAGGAACAAGATGATATTGCCGTAAATGTGACTGACTGTCCTGATGAGACTTTCTCAGGTTTGGTTGCTGCTCTTCCTAAATCCTTTTGTGAATCTCATTGGATTCTTGATTCTGGAGCCACCTGTCATGTAGTCAATAGTGTTGATATGTTTGATACGGTTGATAGATACACTGGTCCTATAAAAATGATTAAAGTACCCAATGGAAGTCGCATGCTCATCACTCACGTTGGCACAGTCAAAATTTTAGATAATATTGTTCTTACCAATGTTTATTATGCTCATGGGTGCTGTTATAATTTAATCTCAGTATCTCGTCTAACAGCAGGGAAGGAGTTTATCGTTTCTTTCTATTCTGATTTTTGCACATTGCAGGATCTCATTCGTGGACAGACGAGGGAGATTGGTAAACTCCATGATGGACTCTATATCATTGAACGGATTAGAAGGGCAGATACAACACTTAGTATTTCTGCTAGGCATGCACAGGATATTTGGCATAGACGTCTAGGCCATGCACCAATAGATAAACTCAAGCATCTAGATCAAATTAGACAGGAAGTTCCTACAATTTACACTGATAAGTGCATCATATGTGCCCGTTCTAAACAACCCCGCTTACCTTTCCCTTTCAGTACTTCTAAATCTCAGTCTTGTTTTGATCTGATACATGTAGATGTGTGGGGACCATATAAAAGGCCCAGTTACAAAGGCTATCGTTACTTTCTTACTATTGTCGATGACTACACACGTTGTACTTGGACTTTTCTGCTTGTTAATAAAAGTGATACTGTTTATCATTTAAAGAATTTTCTTGCCTATGTCCATACTCAGTTTACTTCTACTGTTAAGAAAATTCGTAGTGACAATGGCTTAGAATTTGTTAATGCTGAATTACAACATTATTTGCAAAGCAAAGGAATTATACATGAGACTAGTTGTCCCTATACCCCACAACAAAACGGTGTTGTGGAACGTAAGCATCGCCATCTATTGGATGTTGCTAGGAGCCTTCTATTCCAATCTGGTATACCCCTAAAGTTTTGGGGGGAAGCTATTAAAACTGCAACTTTTTTGATCAATCGTACTCCCTCCTCTACTTTAGGTCATAAAACTCCTTTTGAATTATTATATGGTTACCCACCTGATTTGTCTTTCTTAAGAGTTTTTGGTTGCTTGGCCTTTGCCACTAATTTAAATATTCAAGACAAGTTTCAAAATCGATCTGAACCCTGTGTTTTCTTGGGTTATCCTGGCACTCAAAAGGGTTATTTGCTTTATAATCTCCAATCTCATAATTTTTGTGTTAGTAGACATGTCATCTTTGATGAAACCAGGTTCCCCTTTCAAGATGCAGCAGGTCTCAATCAAGGGGGAGCTCCTCATAATGATATGACTGATCCCTTAGAGCAGTTCAGCCACAAGTATGATGAAGAAGCTCCTCTGCCTATTACTTTCAGGCAAGATACTTCCTCTTTTGACCACCAAGACACTGTTGGAGATGAGCATGGTGATCCCATCATTCCAAATGAAAGGGAAATACCTCAGAACAGACCTGTTAGATGCAGAAAACCTCCTATCTGGATGAAAGATTACACATCCAGCACTGGAACATGTTTCAAAGGTCTGATAGGATATGCATGTACATCTCAAACACCACAAACAGTAGGTAAAAGGGAGGTAAAATATCCTATGCAATCTGTTCTTTCTTATTCTAACCTTTCTACTAATTACAAGCATATTCTATCTAGCATTGACAGTGTCACTGAGCCTTGCAGCTATGAAGAGGCCATAAAGGACCAACGCTGGATTGATGCCATGCAAATCGAAATAAAAGCTTTGGGGGATAATAAGACATGGGAGATTGTAGATTTGCCTAAAGGTAAAAGACCCATAGGGTGCAAATGGGTTTATAAGGTTAAGTATGACTCAAATGGAAACATTGAGCGCTTCAAAGCTAGACTTGTTGCTAAAGGGTATAGCCAACAAGAAGGGATAGATTACTTTGAAACTTTCTCACCTGTTATTAAGATGGTAACTATTCGTATTGTTCTCAGCATTGCTGTGATGAATTCTTGGGAACTTTTTCAGATGGATGTGCATAATGCCTTCCTCCAAGGTGATTTAAAGGAAGAGGTATATATGCACATTCCACAGGGACTTGGTAAATTTGAAAACAACAAGGTTTGTAAATTAACTAAGTCCCTATATGGCCTTAAGCAAGCATCACGGCAATGGAACGAGAAGCTTACTGAAACTCTTTTACAAGGTGGTTTTAGGCAAAGTTTCTATGACTATTCTCTGTTTGTTAGACAATCTGATTCTGAAACTATTTTGGTGCTGGTTTATGTAGATGATTTAATAATTACAGGCAGTAATTTAGATAGTATTGCTGAGGTAAAACGACTGCTGCACAGTAAATTTAAAATTAAAGATCTAGGAGAGTTGAAATATTTTCTAGGAATAGAAGTAGCTAGGTCAAAGCATGGGATAATTCTTAACCAACGTAAGTATACATTGGATATTTTGTCTGAAATGGGCTTGACTGCAGCTAAACCGCTTAGTGTACCTATGGAGCAGAACATCAGATTACATGGTAAACCCAAGAAGGAGACTGATGATCCTTTGATTCCACAGCCAACCATGTATAGACGATTAATAGGTAAGCTCTCCTATCTTACAGTTACTAGACCTGACATTAGTTTTTCTGTGCAGACCCTCAGCCAATTTCTGAATGCACCAAGGAGATCTCATTACAATGCTGCACTCAAAGTGGCAAGATACCTGAAAGGAAGTCCAGGATTGGGAATAATGATTGCTGTATCTAAGTCAAACAAGCTGGAATGTTATGTTGATTCAGATTGGGGGACATGCCCGGATACTAGGAGATCAGTCACTGGATATGTGGTAAAGTTTGGAGGATCTCCTATATCGTGGAAATCCAAGAAGCAAAATACCGTTTCAAAATCTTCAGCTGAGGCAGAATATAGAGCCTTAGGGAATGCTGTGTCAGAAGTGGTTTGGGTCACCAGATTGTTGGAAGACCTCCATGTAGATGGACTGAAACCTGTCAATGTATTCTGTGACAGTAAATCTGCCATACACATTGCCAACAATCCTGTTTTCCACGAAAGAACTAAGCACATAGAGATCGATTGTCATTTTGTAAGAGAAAAATTGCAGCAAGGAATCATAAGCCTCCAACACGTGAAGAGCAAGGAGCAACAGGCAGACATACTAACAAAGGGACTTGGAGTACAAGATCATGTTAGGTTACTTAGCAAGTTAGGGACAAAGAACTTATTTGCCCCCTAACTTGAGGGGGAGTGTTAAGATATGTGTTCTATATATTATTGTAATTATCTCGATTGTTAGGAGGTTAAGTAAGACTTTTGACCGTTGGACCAATGTCTATAAATAGAGGTCCAAATATGTTCGGTCAAGTGTGTAATTCAATGGGCTTTTAGCCTACACTATCAATGAAGTCCAGATCGTTCTGTCTTGAGTTCTCTAGCCCATCTTAACACAACTGATAACAAATCCATGAGTGTTTATGGTTTTGTGAAATGTATGAATGGGGAACAATGTCATAGAAGACTTAAGCGTACCTGAATCATGACACGCATATATATTTTTCCCAGGATTTTGGCACCAGAAAAGAGTTCTGGTCAATCACTGGCTAGTCAAGTAAAAATTTAAGACGAATGCCAGCATTCATATGCAGGTCTTGAGTATCCAATAGTGCCTAATGTAGAAGCCCTCCAGCGGTCATAGAAGATGTTGGGAGAACTGAAGGAATTGAAGCCTTGGACTTGGTTGTTCGAGCTATATATGTGCGCACCACAGCACCAGTGCACGTTAACACGGGACAAAGATGGGGCTGGCGGTCAAGGATTCTTTCTTGTTTTAGGCCACTCAAAGTAATGGCTTCACGCAGCTCTTTTATGTGGTGACAAATGGATGGACGCTAGGAACACCTAATCCAAGGTGGCCCCATAGTTTGTCGTGCTTCCAATTCTGCCCATATAATCTGGCACTGCCTTTTTGAGGTTTTTTTTTTGGTGTAAAAATTGAAAAAGAGGGAGGATACTATAAAGACAATTTATTATTTTTTTAAATTTTTGTGTCATAACTCACAATCTTAAAAACTCTGAGAAAGAGGATGGGGGGAGTTAACAGACTTTGTTTTGTTATGGCCAAAAGGAAAAAAAGAAGAAGTAAATAACGCAATCTTCTTATGATTATAAATGTTATAATATATATATCTATAATCTTAAAAAAAATGAAACTATTAGGATTCAGGTGAAAAAAAAAACCATTAGGATTCGTTCATCCCATGTTTAATTGAAGGGTTTGAAAAAAAAAAATTACCGTGTTTAATGGGGCCATATCATATTGCTCTCAAATATGTAGTTTTCTAATATGCGTCTTAAATTAATCCCCGTTCAAATTCAAAAGCTTCGCAGTATCCAGTTGGGGGGGAAAAAGCTTCACAGTATACGAATTTGTGGATTAATTCTTCCCTTTATATAATGTAATTTTATCTCTTGATTAGTATTTTAAGGTTGGAAATAGAGAGATGTTTTGGCACATATATAAAGATTATGTTTTTTTTTTTTGGCCAGCATATGTGAAGAATATGTAACGCATTTGATAGCGTGAATGATTATTCCCTCCTTTTTCTTGTTTTTGCCAACATTGACGGATGATTAATGATATGGATATTAATTTCGTAGAAATAAAATTAAAATGAGAGGAAAACCATAGCCCAGATTTCGACGACGGTTAGAATACAGTACATTCGGTCACTAAAATAGTAAAATGTGAGGTTATCTGTTTTTTTATTTTATTTTATTTAAATTTTTCCCAAAACCGGGTTCGGGTCCAATGGTCGCTCTTGTTAAGAAAGTGAAGAGCAGGATTGTGGCGCATAGGATTGCTACGATTTCTCTATGGCTGCCATCAGGAACACCAGCAGAATGATCTTCAAGGAGATATTGCACCCCTCTCCCATACGTCCGATTTCTTCTCTGCGCAGGCTTCCTAAAACCCCAGAAAATCTTTTGCCATTAGCTTGTGGGAATGCCGTTCTTCCGTTACCGCGACGCGGGATTGGTTCAAGTGCTATTCGGTGTGCAGCTTCAGATGCTGGTGATGGTGGGAAGAAAGTATCGTCTCGGCTCTCCCAGGTTCAGCAGCTCCTGCAAGAAGCTGAAGACCGAGCTCAGGCATTTGATAGCGGGCCTACTCCTAAAATCACGCTGGGTGAGTTGTTTCTCCTGATTATCATTCGATTAATCGCCGCAAAACTTAAACCTACATATCTGCAATGTTCTAGGGATATCAATGGAATTCTATCTTCTCTGAAGCAGCGTGCCTTCTTAAATTTGGTGTCGTTCGTTGCTTATTATAGTACTCCAGCATAAATTTCAATTTGTTATAGTTTTCCGCCATGTTTTGATTTTTCAACAATTACAGTCCATTCTTATCCCAGGACCCTATTTAGAAATCATCCATTGATCTATACTAACTGAGCTATGACAAGGATTTTATTAAATGGGATTTTGATCGCAACTATCTTCTTTTAATGAACATAATGACACTGCGGTTCAGTGGATCCCTATGTTTCCCCATCTATTCCCTCTATAATTAGCTCGGTTTATATCAAGAAAATGATATAGATTTTAAGTACTTCGCTTTCATTTCAGATCATGTCACAGTGAACTTTGCGAGAAGTGGGGGACCTGGAGGTCAAAATGTAAATAAAGGTCAGTTTAACAGTATTTGGCAACTCTCTACTTTGCTGGGAACTCATCATTAACTGTTGCCAGTTACTTTGCATCAAAACCGCTATTAATTTCATCCTTTGTGGTCCTGCATCCCTTACTATTAGATATTGCCCATTCGTTGCTTGGACAGTGAACACCAAGGTGGACATGCGGTTCAATGTCAAAAACGCATATTGGTTAGGGGACAGGATCAGGGAGAGAATTATGCAAATGGTTTGTTGCAACAGATCTTTTTGTTTTGGTTCAAAATAATTTAATGTTCAATTTTCATGAATCTTAATATTATACATGCATATATGTGTATTATTGTGTGCACGTGTACGCGTGTTTGTGTGTTTGTACCTTTTCATATGCTGCTTACGGCAGATAGTCACCCTCTTTATCTCATGGATGGTGATTGCTATTCATATGTTGGTTTTTGCATCCTGTTTTTTCCTCAATTCTCGGTCTAACTTTTATATGTCTTGAGCAGGAAAAAAATCGTATTAACAAGGATGGGGAACTTGTAATTTCCTCAACAAAAACTAGAACGCAGAAGTTTGTATCTTCCCTGTCATTTTATTTGATTCGTGTTTCCTTTGTATGTTGCAAGAGGAGTTGGCCTGATCCTACCATTCTTTCTCAGGGGTAACATTGAGGATGCTTTGGAAAAACTCCAGGTAATATAGAACATTCAATATTAGACTTGTATTTTTGTCCAAAAAAGAAAGACTAGTATTAAAGCTATTCAAAAGTTTGCATTAGCATCAACTTTTTTAAGCTGGGGACATTTGCAAATATACATGCTTCCATATATCCTATCCTCCCTTCATTAACTTAATGAAAAAGAAGAAAAGAAAAACACGAGTTCAGTGATATCTGTGAAACAAGATGGAAGCTGGAGAAGAGCAGACTTCTGCTGTCTAAAGTGAGGACATGGTGGAAGAATGCGGGGTAGGGAAGTAATTTACAAATTGGTTTCTTAGACTTGTGTTTACTATTCATTGATTTTTAGGTATTCCTGAGTTGATCACTATATGGTCCTTGTTTGCATTTTTCAAGACTTGTCTTGGTTATAATTAGTTGTTATTAACTTCTTGTGAGCAAGCATATGAATCCATTCAGAAACCGATTAATATTTCTCATCCTACCTGGTTCGGGTCATCAAAGGAAGAATTTAGTTTCTTTTAACACCCATCCCCAAAGAAAACAAAAAAGCTTGGTAACTTTGTTATTATGTAATGGAAAAATCAGGCAATTATTGATGCTGCTGCGTATGTCCCACCACCTCCTTCAGAAGAACAAAAGAAGAAAATTGCGAAGATGTAAGAGCACTTCTGTTTTTAAAATTTCCAATTCCTCAAGCTATAACGATATGATTTCTTTTACTGCGTGCTATGTTGTTTTTGGCTTAGCCAAATTAGTGCAACTCGATGTTGAAGGGCATGTAACTGACGTTTGTGGCTTATATGTGTAATTTTGAAGGGCTGCTATTGGAGAGCAGAAACGCCTTAAGAGCAAGAAAGCGCTCTCAGATAAGAAAGCATTCAGAAGAAGTAAGGATAGTTGGGACTAATTTATGTTTTTGATTACCAAAATCTTGCGGTTCTTGATCATTATACGGTAAGTTACTATCATTGGTTGAATGTTAAGTACACTATTGTTGATTATGTATTTTTCCATTGTTCATTAATGTGTTCTCCCAAGATTGCAGGGCATGAAAGCTCAATCCTTTGATAAATGAATGAGCGATTGAATGTAACCTGGGGTAACTCAGAAGCAGCACAACCTAACGGCCAGTTTACTTGAAGGACCTCAATGAAGTTTCATTCTCAAATTTAGATGGGAAAATGATGCCCAAGGACCAAATTCACAAATCTTTTAGTCCTAAGAACCACTAACTGTGAATAATACTCATTGTCACTTGTAAATTTCTATTGCTTGAGAGGTTAAAATATACTCTCTTTTTTTGGTTGCAGATTTTTGTTGTATGAATACTAAATACTCGTAGTTCACATTATGGGGTTGGCAAATTTGAGAGCTTAATTTATAAATTTGGTACTTCGGTACGATTCTCCCAAATTAAATACTTTAATTCCTTTCGGGTTGCAATTGTGGGTATAAACATTGGGATGATGCTGCGTATCAGAAAAACATTGGGATACTGCTTGGCGCACTCACACATTGGGCACCGGACGAGAGGGAATGGCCAGCATCTCAGCTTTAGATTTAGCAGTTAGGATACGCTCTACAGTATTCATTAAATTCAATTAACTACTTGTTTTTGTGAGTACATGCCCATAATAGTGAACCACGCGTTCGTTAAAATCCCTCCAATTTGAAGATTAACCGCACAAGATTGCCCTATTAAATGTCGGTCATAATCGCAGGAGCAAGGGGCTTTGACTTGCTACATATATCAAAATCATTTTGGTAGTAAAGATGGCAGGTTAGCAGATTCTTGATCTCTTCCCACGTAAAGTTCTACTCAAGCAAGTTGGGAAACAATCGCGGCCACGATAGACACTTCTCTAAAGACGCCAAATGCCGCTTGCTTTGAGTTTAGTAAGTTGGAAAACAAGGAAAAAGGGGGCATTGTATGTGGTTACAATCTACATCCGCCGATGACGGTGATGCAAAAACACTTTCATAATACCATCATGTCATTTACATGCTACAGTAAATCTTCTTGCTATTGCAACTATTACTTGTATCCTACATGTCAAACTCCTCCAACCAAAGAACCAAGAATGAAGATAATTTAACCAAATCTCCAGGCTCTTGCCAGTATTAATCAACCATCAAAGGTAAAAAGATTGTAAAGAAATGAGAAAGAAAGACTCTTAATATGATGTATTTACAAAATGAGAAAAATGGCCCTGTCTTTGTCATTGAAGTGGACACTTGGACCCAGGATTCACCGCCGGATAACGTGCACCTCTCCTGAATGTTGATCAACATGTTTGATCCATCTCTTGCCGCCTTTGACGGATGATCCTGAATTGCCCCCTAGGGCGGAGACGTGTGCCATATCGAGCCCTTTTCCCACCGGAAGGAACACCGACCGAACAAGACGCCTTGATCTTTCGTCAAGAACGCACCGCCATTTAAAGCCGGAACTGGCCCTCGAGTTTGCGTTCTTGCATACCAGCACGGCCCCCTTGCTGCTCAGTTTTGCGAGTCTCAGCACTCTCGAGAAGTCCTTCCGGCGAGAGTCCACCACCAAGAAGTCTATGCCTGACAAGCCGTTCATGACTTCCTCTGCTTCTCCCACGATCAACTCCGGTGACATGCCAGCGTCGGCCATGTTACGAACGTATTCTGATCTTGACCGTTCATCGGGGACTATACATACATGCCGGCCACCCGTGTGACGACTTGCTATTTCCAAGCCTTTGCTTGTGGGCATAACTCCGCCAAGTGACCAAGTTTCCACGATGAGCTGTGCGTTCCATCCTGCAGCCATGGCCGAAACAAGCTCAGCCACGCCTGATTCACGGAAAATCTCACACTGTAAAAGGCGGGAAAGAAAAGAAAATATTAGAGATGGATCATCGAAGAAAACTTGAAATTCCCGTACTGAACAAAAGAACACAAATCTTGAGGTGGACTGAGTGCTTACAGATTTAACTGTGTCGATATACGCTTTTGATGCTGTCTCTGGGGACCAAACTAGCTTCATTTCTGAGGAAGATCCTTGCTTGCTTCTCTTGGGTTGTTGGTTTTGAGGTCTATGATATTTTGCTGTGTTTGCGCCGGGAAAAAGAAATTTTGGGTGTGGAAGAGCGTTGAGGTATGCTTTAAAGGAGGTGGGACAAAGATGGTTATAGATATGTGGAAGCAACGAGGACCGTTGACATTTCTCGACCGGAATACCTGTGGGCGGGCCTGTTATTTTGTTATCCAGGTAAAATTACATATCTGATGCCTATACTTTCTTGACTATTTGATTTAGTCCTTATAACCTTCAGTATTTTCAGCTTACTCCCCTGTCCCAAAATTCTGTCTCTTCCATGTTGAATTGAAAACAAAGGAAAATTACATATAAAGACATATGAAAAGCTAATTATAAAATAATATACTTACAACTTTTGAATGGATTTAATTATAATATGTTGGTTGAGATTTTAAATCTTTAATTTTTCATCTAAATCTAGCAAAATAGTACGAGTTTTTAACTTGATAATTGATGTGCAACACAAATAAATCAAGCAATTTGTCCCATATATTATTGTGGATTAAACAGGCCATGCCATGTGTTATATATACACGCCTCGGCCAAATCAGTTGAAACAAATATTATGTACAGGATCGTGAGGACCAACTAAGAAACATAAGCAAGACTGTGTGGAACAATTCAAATATAAAGAAATTATGAGCATGGAATTAAAAATGAACCGCGTTGTGTTGCACACCCTCGTTTCGGCCCCCTGAGGTGGGAAGACAGAAACAAAAGCCCCTGAGAGGGTATGGAAATTACGAGATTGACAAGTTGTTGACTTTTTCCTTGATCGGGGGATGACGGTTTTGGATTTTAGTGGAAGTGGTTGCATTGTTGGACAAGGCAAGAGTGACAGAGACAGTGACATAGAAACCACTGTAGCAGCTGATAAGGGGCGGGAACCAGTTCTGATGCTGCCTGAAGCTTAGTAGCTAAGCTAATTGAGCCACAAAGATTCATCCTTTCACATTCCCACCGCCTCCTTGCACAGTCCAACTAAAAAAGGTGTTTGGCAACTATTAAAACAGTTTTTAAAAGATATTTTTTGATTAAACGATACAAATTCCTCTTCATGTTTATTTTTTATATTATAAAAATATTTTTAAAATTATGATTTGGTTTTCATCTAAAGTACTTTTAATATAAAGTGTCATATTTTTGAATTAATTCGCTTCCTTGTTCGCCTTCAAACTGCTTATTAAACAATGATCATGTGCATGGAAAGCAGAAACACCTTGTATTTTTTTTTTTTTCCCTCTCGAAAGAATCTTTTAGCTTGCTTGTGTGTTTATCCATAGGTTTATTTTATGATGGGGTCAACGAGAGTGAAATCGACGGAGAATGACAGGATCGTAAATAAGTGGGAGAAGGGAGGGCATATGAGGACGATTGAGGGTTGCGAGAAGAATGGAGGTGGTCAAAATGGAGAAGACGGTTTAAGATGAGTGGGAATAAAATGTCAGTGACGTGAGCGCGTGGGTAAGAGGGCGCCGAGTAGTTAGATATATAGTTAGAAAAAGTATATATTATGTATGTGTGTGTGTAAATGTGGTGATTAGCGTATGGATTAATTTAATGAGCGGCGATGAAGGTGGGGCGTGAGGTGAGTGGGAGGGTAATGATGTAGCTTAAATCCAACGCAGTGGTGAGTCATAAACAAATACCCAACTTGATGATGGGGGGTTCATATCTTTTGTTAGTTGTCGTCAGCCCTTACTCATTCATCCTCACGGCCTCATCCCATTTGTATTGGTCGTCCGTTTCATTTTCAACAAAGGAATGTGTGTGTGCAGTTTCTTCCCAGCCAACCTCGCTCCCACTTGTTGACCCACCCACCATTTATGAGCCAGTGAAGACATTTCGATCTCTGTACTTTGGACGTACATTTTGTTTGGACTGCGTACTTTTCCCATTTCTTGAACCACAAGGCAGACCAATGTTAAGAAACATAGCCAGACAGAAACTGCAGTTACGAGGCTACTAGAAAACAAAGCCCATGAAGTGATGTAAGTTGTGAGCTAAGCAGGTGATGACAAGTTGACAATAATGCGCCTGTTTCGATTTACCTAGGGCTAGTTTCCGCTCCCATACTCCGAGGATTCATTCCGGTGACCAACTCACGTGGAATGGTATGGAAGTATTAGGAAGCAAAAAATTGTGGAAAAAAATTCTAAAAAAATACTACTAAATATTAGGATTTTAAATTAGTCTTAGTTCCTATCTTTTAATAATAATTGTAATATTTAAAAAAATGACAACACATTTTTTGGGGATTTTTATTTAAAATTCTAAAAGTCCACGAGTTTTTTTTTTAGAATTTTCTCGAAATTATTTCATTCACCTCCCCTACAAAATTTCCCTTGCCCCCATAAAAACTTCTATTCGACCTAAAGTCTCCAACACTCACATGTATATTTGAAAATTTAGTTTGTCCTTCTATTGATAATAAAAAAATTTCTTTTTCTGTAGGAGACAATGGCATTATATTCCCTAGGACACTATTGTTGTAAATTTTATTTAATAGAAGATAAAAGATTTCAATTTAAACATTTCCTCCGGTTCAATATATGATAAATAACCATCTTATGAAGAATTTTAGTTGGAAATGGTCATCCTTTTATATCATAAAGCGTATGTTCTTTGTCAAAAAAAATTCCCCAATTAATTTGTCAACTCCTCACAAAGCCCCTTTACTTTCAATGAAGAGCAGGAAAAAAAATATTTTAATAAACGAATTAGACAGAGACGGTTTTCCTTCCCTTGTGCTTGGGGTCACAATGAAACTTTCTGCCGGGTCAGGTACTAAGGAGATGCTTCCCTGTTGTCGTAACTTGCATGTCATACAACTTTCTAAATATTCCTGTACGTGAAACCCGAGGGATTGGCATAATATTCAGTGTATCTTTTGATTCAATTAAAAACTATTTTTCTCTTGTAACTAAAAATAACAACTCCTCTTAAAATTTGAATTTTAAGTTCAAAATTAAATAAATTAATTTTTCATAATTAATAAGTTTAATTTAGGAAAAAATCCTAAAAAAATAACCATTGAATTTTAAAATATTAAATAAAAAATTACTTTAAAAATGTATTATCATTTGTTTTTTAAACGTAATTATTTTCTTTACGAATGAATTTTTTGAAATTTTCTCCTTAATTTAACCATGCTGGGCTGATGACTGGATTGGTCCATCAAGGGCGGACCAGCATATATAGTCCAACGATTCTCATACCCCAGCAATCGACAAGATACAAGTTGAAGATAGGCATAAACAAAATCTTCCTAACATTTGTTTCTAATATCCTTATGTGTGAGTACAAAATTATTCAAAGCTCTCGCGTTCTCAGGACACTTGGAGAACTCGGGGGTAAAGCGGTAGCCCACAGTTCCCGTTATAAAACTTATTTCATAAGAAAACCCAAGTGCCATCTTGTTGCCCCTCCTCCAGATACAGTTTCGACAAGGCTACCAGTCTTATCCCAATATGAACACCTTAAATATTTGGAATACATTTAATTCACACAATGGAGTCCAAGGATTGAATAAAGGCATGCACTTGGCCTTGGGACAGTGCATAGAACATCCTACGCGAAAGCAGTGTGATGTTGATTATCTTCAAGCCACTCAGAAGGCCACCATTTTGGTCGAACAGCCTCAACCTTCACATTATCTTGACCCTCTATAGATAAGGTGCCAGAACCTCTAAAGGCCGCCTCCATCCGCAAAAGCCCCAGCCCACAACATCCAAGGGCAGTATTGACGAAACCTACTTTCTTGCCACTTGTCGTGTCAATTACCTCTGAGCCTGGAGTAACTTTGTCTTCTACTTCTGGAAGAGCAAAAGAAAAACAGCTCAGAGTAGATCAATAAAATAGATAATCCTACAGAAGCAAGGGGAGTCTTGAGTTACCTTTCCCATCGTTAGTGACAAATCTTACAGGCACTATACGCTTGCGAATCACCCCTCGGTGATGCGTACGAGCTATGAGCTCTTGCCCCACATAACAACCCTTGTCAAAGCTAATTGCATTAAGGCCTGCAAGATTATACTCAAGCGGTACCGCCTCACCTGGACATAATTTGCAACATTTAACATACCAAATGATTAATTGACCCAAATATAGTTCACTGCAAGAAATAAACATGCACCCTTTTGAATCTCAGTTGATCCCTCTGCAACTCCCTTTTTTATTCTCCAAAAAAGATAATTCTCTTCATCTGTTTCTTTGTCAGCCTCAACCAGAGGTGCTGAATCAGGTAAAATGAGGGGAATTAATTAAACCAGACAACTGTATATAGTTGAAATGATAAAGATTGCGGCAATATATGAGAAATCTTACGAGGAGGTTAAACGAAAAAAGATAACTTACGTGTTACATTAGATGGGAAGATCCCTCTAAAACCAAGACAGTCCAATCGGGGGTCCTTGAACCATTGCCACCCAAAATTACTCCCACGCGAAGCTAATGTTGCGGAGTGATCCACGCCAGCACCCCAGCCAACAGAAGCTGCCTCTGGTTCATCAGCATCTGATGGCTTCTCAGAAAGGCTAGGACCATAGCGTTGCCAGCATGAGAAATCTTCAGTAACATTATCAATCTCAACCTTGGACCTCAGACGGTATCTGTGCCATTAAAATGTTAGGGATGCTGCAATATAATCCTGTAGGTTTTCTGGTTTACGTGACTCATTCTTGAAATTCTGTACTATGCATAAAAAAACACGTCTAGTTACCAACTAAGTAAATAGGAAAATTTTTCAGGTTCCACTAAAACAAACGCAAGTGTTTTAGTAGTAGCCAAGCCCAACGTGACAGAACCTATATGCTAAAACAAAAGAAAAAAATGCAAATAATATTATCACAGAATCCTGATCATAGCTGACTAAAATTCTTTCGTCTTTTAAACCTCATATCAGTCATACAGAAGCGGCAACATTTAACACATTCCATCAGTAAAATGACAGTTGAACTGAACGTTGCCGTGCCCTGGATATCTGAACTGAACAATTTCAAACAATGGCCCCGAATTTCAAACAATGGCCCCGAGTAAGTAGATATACCAGTTAACATACAAAGCAGAATTTGGAGTAACTTCTTCGAAAAACAGATTCATGATGACAAATCAATAACCATAATTGAGGCAACATTTTGGAAAGCACAAAAAAACATCAACCCTAACAATCAATTGGCAGGCTTCCAACCCTCGTAAAAAGTACAATGAACAAAATTACTCCATGGAACAGTAAATAAACTTAGAGTGACAAGAAACTCACTTCTTTAAGGCTTCCAAAAGTTCATCTAATACCGAAGCATCCACATCGGCAAACAAATTAAACGGTTCATCAGGGTCAGTCCCAGGTCCTGTTCCAGTCTTATCAAGCTTCGTCTCAGGCCCGGGTGGTTTATAGAGAAAAAGGTCGTAGAGGAATCTGCCTTGAGGGGTTAGAAGCGCAGCATATACAGGCGGAGCTGAAGCCACTGGTACATTAGGTGTAGGCAAATGAGCAGTTTTTTCACCGACGGGTTCACCAAACCTTCGCACATCGTTGGTTAACAGTCCCTGAAGAAACTTCAAGGTGTCAGGCCCTTGGAATCGGATAACCGACCGGGACTTGAGGAGCGAGACTAAGGGACCAGCATGTTCGAAATGGGTTTTGTGGCCAGGAAATTGTTTCGGGGAGGTGTAATGGAGGGTTCTGCAACTGCACGCAAAGGATCTGGAAAATGTTAGATAGGTTCTGAGACGATTCATTGCTTCCCCGCTCTCTGTCGGCGAAGATAATTTGTTGGAGCTAAGATGGTGAAAACTGAGTTTTCTAATGTACTCATGTAACGTCCCTCAGCCGCCACGTGGGTCAGAGATGGCTCCCGCTAGCCACGTAGAAAGCTTCCAGAAACTCAAAGCGAAGCTCGAAGTTTTCTGCTCTCTGTCATACGTGTTACTCTTCAATATAGAAGAACCATTCAAAAGCATATCAGAGATGCTTCATTTCCCACCATACAGCTTGCGCTAATCAAAGGTGCATCACGCGTGAATATTCTGCCAAAGTACAGAGCAATCAAAGATTGAGAAGAAAAGGAACAAATAATTGCAAGTTTAGAGACATGAACAACTAACCTGAGGAGAACTTAAAGATTACAGATAAGGAAGCCCTGTAACTATAAGCATCCATGGAAATTCAAATCAAATGAAAATCTAGTCAAGATGATGAGAAAAATTCAGTTCAAAATCTCCACGGAGAACATACTCAAGGTTACAGGGAAACATGCAGCTTATTTTGTTTCACACCAGCAGCACCGGAACGAAGCGAAGAAATTTCCGCGAAAGGAAATACACCAAATGGATTAAAGAGAGATAACGAATTCCTCCACTCCAACGATCTCCGGCTTCCTCCCACGCTTCGCCAGATTGACGGAGAAATGGGGGAGCGAGCAGCCCGAAGCAGAGATCGAAAATCAATTCTGAAAGCCAAAAGCAATTATAGTATCCAAGTTACAGAAAAATTGATTTAGGCCAAACTCAAATTTGTAGAATTAAGTAGAGCCAACCCCAGTTTTCCCAAGATGGTGCATTGTCATAGATATGCAAATTGCCACGTACAAAGGGTTTAAAAAAGGGCTTAGGAATATTAGGAACTCTTACAAGGATGTCCCCTTTTTTCAATTATTTTTAAATTGTAAAACAGATCGTTTTATTTCATTTTCATTCTACTATGGAATCAATTATGCACTACGCTGTGAGATGATTAACGTAGAGGTCTCAATTTTATATACTTCCAATCACAGATACAAGGGAAAACCTCTTCAATTAATTTGAGTCGAATAAACTTTGTTAACAGTTAACCAGGAGGGGCAAATCAAACCCAACCTGGCTTACAAATAATTGGTCTGAACATCCTTTCTTCAACTATAAAAAAGAATGATAATGTTCATACTCCCATAAAATAGACAGCAGAAATCATAAAGCTCGAACAACAGCTTACAGTTCACTTACTCCATATTTAAGATAATTTACAATTACAATGAACATAAAGGTCCCCAAACAACTGAAATCCAACTCGGCAGGCAGGAAGTACAACATTAACTTTTTGAGGCACTCGGTTTTCTCTGTTCATTGCTCCAGCAAAATTTCCATCTTACATGCATCCTACACAACTTGCCTAAAATCGGAAGAAAGGTTTTCAAGATAATGTACGGCAACGATTGAACAGATATGACGAAGATAAGAACAAAGAAGGCATTCCCAAATGAATAGTGCAAGAACTTCAGGAGGCACAATGTGCTTTCCTTCGGTGAATCCACCAGGAAAGAAATGCAACATAACTTGATGAACCAGGTGGCAATTTTCTGATGAATTTTCAGGTGGCTCTAAATTATTGGATCCTGAGCTTTGTGAGGGAAAAGGTAGATTACTTTCTGCAGATGGGTTTTCCGAACCTCCATCATCCTTACTTGACTCATCAGGATCTCCACCACTTTCTTTGCTAGGACTTCCACCCAAACCCCCTTCTGGAATACTGCGAACCAAGTCGGGCCGAGCTTCCACACCAACACGTCTCAAGTGTAACTGCGGTAATATAAACAAAAGTTAAATACATCAATTTATAAATGGCTATAAAGTGACTGATGCAAGAACAAGCCCCTAGTCATATACCTGAAGATGTAAGTTGACTTCATCTGGGCGTGAAAGGAAAGGAAAATCTCCACCTGTTTTCAAGTATGCTCGCCTTGCCCCGGCATATCTTTCACTCAACTGATCTTTAAGTTGTTGAGGAATAGCACAGTAGTCGTTTGTCTTTCAGATCAGTTCATGATCAAGACAAAAGAATAAATAGTTATAAGTAAATCAAGCACATGCCATTATCTTATCATAGCTGAATAGTAAAGCTGAAAACAATGATATATGCCGTGTATAAAAAGAAATTTGGACAAAACCAAATATAATTTCACATGGAGCCACAGATAAAAATAAGACACCATAACCTAGTGATCTGTACCCCTAAGCGAAAGGTTTTGTGTCTTAAAACTTGCAACAAAAATGCTGCCTTCTCCCATTTAAAATGATTTTGGCTGAACTCTTATAAGCCATTTCTCACAGTAGATTGTCTAGATTGAAAAAATTTCGTTTTTTAAAATTTTAAGTCAAAGCTTAATTTTTTCAAGAAATAATTAACAATTAGAAGACTATCACAAGCAAATGGAATATAAATGAGTCTCCGGTGTACTTCTAAGACTGCCAGCATAACTTGCCAACCAGACTGAAATGGCATAATGGAAAGCCAGAGACTAGAAGACAGCAAGTCACCTTCTTCTTCTTCTTTTTTCTTTTTTTGGTAACTTCTGATGATCGAATATATGGGACGCAAGCATACCCCGCAACAATATCAATACTTCTCAGAAAGGTACAAGCTTCATGAAGCACAAACATAATAATTAAGACATGATTTACATTACGTACATCCATTATAGTGATGAATGAATCTGAAAGAAGAATGGGCCCCACTGCAGCATCATCAGTGGTCAATGTCAACCTGGAGGCTAAATCCTCTCTTGATAGAGTTTCCACCTGAATTTTGCATATTAATTAGCAAAATAGGTAGATACATTAACAACTCTGTGATAAACAAGATCTAAGTTTGCCTCTTGAAGTAGAATGGCATGTTGCTGAGAAAAGATGACTATTCCCACAAATAACGGTAAAAGTACATTCTATTGTCATCTCATAACAAGAAAAATCATAGCGTACTGAATGTTGCTAAAGTTGGCTTGATAGTCGGTGTTAGATTATGCAAGAATGAATACCTGAGAAACAACAAAGTCCACTGAGTCTGCAATAAATGGTTCATGAGGACCATCACGTATTCCTGTTAAGACGTACCGCTTCAGCATAAAAGAAGGGGTCCAACTGACACTGAATGATACAATAAGATAACAGATTCAGTTAAGCTATCAGGAAGTAGCAAGACATGCGCTAGTAAGAAGAAGAATATGAAGTTGTTGGGTGACTGAGTAATTTGACCATTGAAACACAAATTTCATCTTAGAGGTCATGTGTTTCTAGAGAACCATGGAAATAAACAGCTTCTACCCACTTTTTTTTCAAGACAAGATGCAGCAATGTCTAGAAAATGCGAATTAAAAAGAAAAAGGAAGAGAAAAGGAGAAACACAAAAACGATGTCCTCTCAATTATCCTCTCTTAAGTCATTAACTAACCATCATTTATTGTACACAAGCAACATAAAACCACAAATATAAAGTAATCTCGTTCAGAAAAGCACGCACTACAGGACTGAAACTCTGCAATAGTTAGGTCTGAAATTTCTAAATTAGATTACAGTAGAAAACTGTATATTCAAGAACTCAGATATATAAATTCAACATGATGCAGAAACGCCATCTTTCTGCAGGAGAAAAACTTTCCTATTAAACAGAAGCAAAATTAGATGTTCTTGATTCTCATTGGCCTCTCAGGAATATGAATAGCCAGAATCCTCAACACCAGATTATCTTTATCATATAACAGGTACAAAAATAGCAACTCTTCAAAGAGAAAAGAAATATATATATATATATATATATATACACACCATCCTTGAACTGAGATAAAAAAGGAACTAAACATTCTTTTCATGTAAGAATCCTTCCTTCAAAATCCCAGTTTTGCCGTGAATTACACAAATTTCATCAGCATAACTGTAAGAGTACAATTTCTAAATCAAAGTTGTTATATTTCTCACGCATACGTGAACCTAGAATTAGCAGTTTCCTTATCATTAATATGATTGCCCCTATAAAATTTACTTGACAGTTCATTCGACCCCATGGCTTAAGCAAAATTTCACATTGATGTTCTTGTCTGCTAGAAATCTCACTAACTCATTCTTCACAGTTTATTTATCAACAGTTAGACACATATATTACAACAGATATAGCTCATGCCTAGCATGCATCTATTATTATTTACAATAGACTGTTAGAAAGGTACATTGGAGCCCATGGCATGGCAGCAGAGAAACTCCGTGTCTCCAAAAAGGAATTTGATAGAACTAAAGACCGAACCCGTCGTGGGCGATGCTGAGCAAAAAGTTGTGCAAGGAAGCCACCAAGAGACGTGCCATAAAGATGTATCTGTTAAAAAGAGCTTGTATAAGTGTATCAGATATTTCCTCAAGTTGTAAGAAACTATGATAACCAAATAAATAGCTTCTGACTTCTAGATGAAATCATACAGAGAGATGGTTGGACCTATGTGCATGCCAATTTACAGAAGTTTTGTTGCACAGACCACCAGAGACATGTATGATAATGAATGTTATGGATGAAAAATAGGCATAAAACAATAGAACCAATCCCAACTGATAAGAATTAAAAAGATGGTAGTAGAAGGAATGGATAAAGTTTGAGGACATCATACATGATGGACGTCTATAGCATCCAAGAACTTTTCAAATGCTTGAACCCATTCTGTATGACTCCATACACGGGGTATATCAACAGATATGACACGGTAACCCTACAAAAATTGAATGCATTGTTAGTCCTACAAAAATAGCCCAATTATAACATAAACAGAAAGAAGCTTCAACAAGTGTGATTAGCAAAAATACAAATTGATTGCAACACTATTTATTATGTTAACATATGCAGTACCTTCATGGACAATGCCATGATCTGTTTATAGTACACATCGGCTGTTCCGGCTGTTCCAGGAAGACAAATAAGTGGAGGCACAACTTTTGGACCAAAATCATAATATCGCCACTGCTTTGTGCCAATCTGCAATAATTAATGCAAAAGGGCCGCAAAAAATAGGAGTGATGTCTCATCAAAAGTTATACTGTAAAAGGTAATAAACACACAAAATCCAACAAACCATATAAAAAATTCAACGGCAAGCAGAGTATAGTTATAAATACAGAAACATTCATGCCAAAAATACACGAGGTGCCAGATTAAACTTATTCAATGAGTATTATCATAAAATCAATAATCTATATTATCATCTTCAGGAGGACACTAAAAGGTCAAGAGGCATCCAAGACGCCTTTCGGCATACAAGAATTTTGATGCTTGGAGATATGAAATGCCTCTGTTGCATGTGTTATCTCACAGCTGCATTTTGCAGACTGAAAACATAGGATGATCCAAAAAGGCGACCTTTTAGATTTATCTATGTTAATTATGAACCATTGATGGATAAATCCTCCTAAATACATGTTTTAATTATTTATTTAGAAGGGTATAGTCAAATTCCCAACTCTTTACTAAGAATGGCGGAATTACAAGAAAAAATATAAAAAAAGTAAGAGATGCTTCTAAAAACAAAACATCTAATCTATTGAACATTATGTCTTTGGTGACCCCAAAAAAAAAAAAAACATAATTTACATCTGAATAAAATCCATGGCACCCTCAATTTAACTCAGAAATGATGGAGTTCGGGAGAACTTTAGGACAAAGAATATTGACATGACACATCCATATTATGGAACCCATCACTAAGTACCATGAAATGAAATCATTGTTACATCTCCAATCTATGTATTCTTTTATTCGTTATGAATTTTTCAGAAGGGTGAGATATTTAAAGTGGCATTCAATTCACGAAGAAGCAAGACTGAGAAAAGAGATAAAGCAACCATCAAATGAATTGCAGACCTATTATGCAAATAAAAGCAATATGCGCTATATCATAATTTCAAGGCCTACATTAAAATCAAAACGAAAACAAGACACAAAAAGTAACTAGGAAGCTGCCAACAATCCATATAAGAACATTAAACCGGCTCTGAAGGTGAGTCAGAACCATTAATAAAAGAAAACAAAAGTGAAAAAAGAAGAAGAAGAAGAAGAAGAAGAATGCAAGGGGAGAAATACCAAAACGTGGGTGCAAAATTTAGAACCGAGGGCAGCATAAAATAAGAATTGCTAGGTAATGGAACAATGAGATGCTCATGAGCATACGTCCTTGCACATCAACAGCATATAAATAATACTCTCAGAAAACCACTTGTCACCAAAAGTAAAAAAACATCTCAGAAAGCCAAAATGAACGTGTACCCAGAAATAAACGAGAAAACATGAGCAGGGAACACCGTCAACTACGAGAAGAAGTAGCCACATCAAAATTTACAAACTTTGCGATAACAATTATGAAAAATCATGACGACAGAACCATGAGATCGACTAGCCGAACTGTATATGGTTATCATGATAAAAAAATTAACAGACTAAATCCAGCAGCACTTGAGAAATGAAGCTAGCCAAAAAAGTGAATAACAAAAATAGCAAGACAATTAAAATTCGAACAGGTAAGTAAAGGGGACCTACTGGGATCTTGTGAAGAGGCACCTGAGACTTGAAGTGGATGAAATCTCCGGGCGCCGAAAAGACGCCTTTCATTGCTAATTTTTAGGTCTGCATACGCCCATATCACAGAAGCACGGCTAATCCGATGATCACCGATTTCTTTCTCCTCTCTCAGAAGTCTTTGATTTGTTAATCCTCGCTGTCATCCGCCAATTTCTTCAATATTTTTTCAAGGATTGAAGAAAAAATACCATATAGCAGACACCACGTGGCTGGTCCCTCCTATGATTGCAGTCTGTTTAACGATGACGCTGTTCCAGCTCCCCGGCATCGTTTAGTTTTTCCGATTAAAAAAAAAATGGTGTCCCTGTTGCGTAAATTTGTTTGGATGACTTTTTTTTTTTTTACCAGCATGTTTGGATGACTTTACTTTCATAATTTTTTCTCATAGCCAATATGTCATTATTTTCTGCGACTAATTTGTTTGTGAAATCCTATATTTTTGGGATTATGTGTTCGGATATGTGATTCCTAAGTTTGACCCCAAAAAAAAAAAAAAAAGCAGATGTGATTCCTCATAATCATATGGACGAGAATGCTTGTATTTTTTTTTTTAGGCCGTTGATTTAATACTTTGTACGCACCCTGTCAATTTCAGCGCTCATTATTGATTGCATCCTTTTTTTTTTTTAACACCGATATGTTTATGGATTAATGTTATGCTTTTTGTGTTTAATTTGTAATAGCGTAACTTAATATAATCATTTATAATTTTATTTATCATTTTTAAAATAGAACTTTAAATTAATGCCAAAATCAAATCAAATGTCAAGAATTAAAACAAAGGCAAACATATACCAAGTATCCGCTTAGGATAATGTTTTTTTATGGCTATTCTGCATGTACAAATCTATTTTGGTAGTAATATTCCATTTTTAACAATAATTCAATAAACATGCGAGTTATAAATAATCTTTCAATGAAATCATAACTGTATTTATCAAGCTGTACTTAAAAATTTGATAATCAAAATATAACAAAATGGCGAAATTTTGTGCTATTTACTTGTTTAAGAAGGTAAGATATCAATTATTTTGCACAAGAGCTCAATGTTTATCCTGTACCTGTGTTTCTTGACATAGACCCGAGGTATGTTTGGATAGGAAAAGTCTGGTATGCTGAAGAAATTTATATTTATAAGTATCTTTAAAGACAAGAACGTTGGGACAAATACAAGCAAAGGACGAATTAGAAAAGGAAGACGACCTTGGAAAAGGACGCGTCGAGCCATCTGCCAAAAATGATGCTCCGTTTTAGGTTACTTCACAGGATACTGATTTCTGAAAATGCAAGAACCCATGACGGACCTAAAGCCCCCAGGATTAAACCCCACTCAAAACTTGCCTACTTTCTCCCAAACCAATCCACAATAATACGATAGCTGCTTGCTTTTATCATGAACTAACATTAATCAATCTCAAATCATCACTTATTCTCACAACGAATTAATCAAACCCCCGCCGTTGCAGCACTACCTAATGGACTTGAAACCAGATTGCTCATCAATTAATAACGACTTCAAAGACATAACACAGCTTGATGGAGTAAATCCATGTGAAGAAGTCGTCAATTTTCGATCATCGTCTAAATTAACAACCATCCAACAGGCGTCACCTTAAAAGAGGGGACGTTGGCAGATCCATTAAACTGGACAATGGTCGTCAAGCACGTGTTGGAATTCCAAGCACATCAGAAGAACAATTTTGGCATTCGCCGGGTGATATAAAACAAAAATGCTGATGATGCACTAAAGAAACAAAAAATCCGTGAGTATTTCCGTCAGTTTGCGGGCTTATTTTCATTGATCTGTGCAATTTTCCTTTTCAGACATTTCTTAGTTCAACTTGTTGTCTAAACCTGCGCACGCAATCGGCAAAATTTGTAACCAGACTAGCACATTTCAAGGGATCCTTGACATGGTCCTTGTAACATGCCAAGCAAGCCTCACTCTCATCAGTGCATGGTCTGGGCTTTGGCTTTGGAAGCTTATACTCTTTATCACGGAACTCCTTTGCCTTTTGGGTTACTTTCTGCAACATATTCTCCTCTTCCTTCTGCAGTCGCTCCACTGCTTTCTCACTTTCCCGAAGCACAGATCTTATGGCCTCTAACTCCGCATTGGCAGATTGTACTGAAGGAGTTTCTGGCAGGAACACAGGAGGCCGCAGTGGCCATGCTGGAGCAGCCTCGCTCTTGGGCCTCACAGAGTCATCCCCTATTTGCCTTTGAGTTGCAGTTGATTGGGCAACTGGAGGCTCTCTTGATGCCTTCCGTTTAGTTCTTTTAGTTTTCTTCGACATATCCGCATCCTGAACAAGCCGATCAACCAGGCCTTTGCTGATGTGAATTGTAAACTCACCCATAATATGGTTACTCCTGAAAGGTGTCCCCGAAAAACATCATGAAAGATATAATGCTGGAAAGCAGTACAAATCATATAAACATCCACGACATTAACCTCAAAATTTCTCCACAAAGTTACCATATTAAGAGGATCAAATCAAAAGCAATAAATAATCACATAAGTTCACAGTCCCGTGTACAGAGAATATAAAAGGAACATACAATTTCCGAGTGTATTTATCTGCTAGGATCCAGATAAGTATGAAAAAGGGAAGAAAGTAATCTTAATTTATTATGTCATGCAAGAATCTCACTTCATAAAATTAAGCCATTGGAAGAATCTCCAGAAGGATGAAACAGAGGATAACTTGTCATTGCATCACTGAAATTACAGAGTATATATAAGAGAAGACACAGAACCGTTAATTTTCACAAAAAACAATAAAATAAAATAAAAACCAGTAATTAAATAACTAAACCCACACATCAGTTATCCTAGGCTATTAGGTCGAAAACACATCACAACTAGACAGCAAACCACAACAACACATAACTGAACTGAAAACAAAAGGTTCAGACAACACAGCATAGAAGTTATTCAACGTGAGTAACTTCTTCGTCCACGAAACTTGACTCAACCATTGGTTGTTTCCACCACTTACTATCTACCAACACGGGACTCCCATCAATTCTTCGTGGAAAAATAGAAACGCTTATCTGGCATGAGTAGTAACAATTAATAGAAAATGCAACGCCAAGGATATTCATCAACAACTACTTCAGTCCATATGAATCCCCCTCTGCACATGGTTTAGTTATTCTCTTGAGTAGAGTGTACTACCCTGCGCGATGCACAGGGAGCTTGTAAATCAGGAGTCATTTCATCTTAATTTTAATCAAGAAAACAACTCACACATTCTATGCCAAACAAATATCTCATAATCAAATAATATACATGATTAATATACATAATCAAAAAAATATTTCACTAAATAACCTGCACAAACTATCGAGTCTCTTATTAACTAGTCCATGACAGTTCAATCACAATAGGCTGTGTGGCTCGTCATTTCAGGTTCAATTAATCTCTCACCAGTCCTCAAGTAATTCTAACAACTTAAATAAACCTCAAGAAATTAAACTACAAAAAAATGATTACTTTGAGGGATGGCAACAGAGCAGGTTAGGTAAGCTTTGGCCGGAACCTGACCTATAGCCCATATAAGGCATTTTCCTAAGCGTATTCAGAATTTGGAGCCGAATCAGCCAAAAAAAAAAAATCCTAAATGTTCTCTAGGTGCTTTTAATGCATTAGTTTTCCACCTCTCAACCTCTATGCTTGTTCCATATCACTTGACCTTTCAGTGGACAAGACACATCAACATTCAACAATATAGACAGACAGCTAATTAGAGATTTAATATTGTATTTTACTTATTTGGTGACTTTCTAAGATAGAAGATATTATTAAGAGAAATGAAGTTAAATGAAAAGGGAAGAAGTTAAAAGGAAGAGAGAGAGAGAGAGAGAGAGAGAGACAGACAGACAGACAGACTGTATGTTGAAGATTGTTACAAAATAAGATAAAATACAAAGCAAAGAACAAGAGAAAGTAAGCTAGGCACTTGGTGACCTATCTTCAAAGATCCATTGAACGATGGCTACATCTAAGGTGCTGTTTGGCAGACAGGAAATGAGGTGATGGAAATGGAAGAGGGCTTCCTTTCCCTCTCAAGCAACGTTTCATTGCACCTGAGATGCAGGAAAGGATCTTTCCATGCAAGCATGGGAACCTCGCTGCCTCCACTCCCAATATTGGAGGGTAGCCAAATTCTTTTGCGGGAAAGGTGCACAAGAAGACAACTTTATCCACAGATTAATCGTGGAACTCCATCTTTGTCAAAAACATCAGCCAATTTGATGGTGTATTTCCCAAATACTGAGTGATACAGAGCTTAAAACAAGCCACAAATTTATAGCGACAATTTCCACCGCTGACTACTCCTCCTTATAGCTACAAATCCATAACTTGCTAAAAAATATTTAAACCAAAGATTTGAACAATATGCACAATGACAATCAAATGAAAAGAATAGAATGCATTTTCTTGAATAGATAAAGCCAGAAAATCATTCTAGATGTGAAATGAAGATATAAAATTTCATGAAGATGAAAATAATATGAACAAGATTAAACTAAGCAAGACTGACGAGGGAGGGGGCTTGCTATCATGTACATTGCGAACATGGCTAGTGAAAACCAAGCTTCATGACATTTACCTATTAGATTTGGGGGGGAAAAAAAGGCATCACACTGGAAGCATTACAGTTCGCATGTGAACAAAGTTTAGCAGTTGACACAATCCCCCTATTGACTTGATCTCCACAAAGTGTTTGGACTTTGGACTTGAACTTTGCTGACAGATATAGCCAAAATTAAAACAGGGACGGGTGGAAAGCATGATTGGACCTAAAGTTTTATCACGTGCAAACACACATTTCATATGGAAAAACCTTCTGATTAGGAATAAAAAAAAAACATTAAAAAAAACGATTCAGTTCCCATATACATTTCTTGCATCCATAGTTTAGCAGTTAGTGCATCTATGCCTAGATTGTGGCATTGCGGAGTCATTAGAAAGTGACAAATCTAATAACACATCATCCAAATTCGTCCGATACTCTGAAGGTGAATTATTGCAATTTGGAGCAACAAATGAGCATTGTATCGTTCTTCATTTATTTTGTTTCGTTAAAATTAAAATTTTCCCTATTCAACAGAATAAAACTTTGCTGTAATGAAAAACTCAAGCTGTATGATCTAATAAATAAATCAAACGCAGGCCTGAGAGATGGAGGCAGTTTAAATTCATGAAGAATCTAACATTTAGCAATAAACATCTCAGCACAGCGTTAATAGTACACGCAGTTCAGTTTCGCAAACTATCGCAGTAAACGACTGCATTTTCCGGGAAGGAAAAAAAGGGGAAAAGATTATGTCATTTTATGCGATATTCCTGATTCAAAATACCTGACTATGGATCAACAAGATGAGGATGTACTCAATGACGTGTGGAGATAACGAACTAACCTGAGGCGACTGGTGCAGCAAACAAAGAAGTGAGTAGCTCCCCAGAGAGAACAGGCAGAAAATTCCAGGCTCCAGCGGAGTTTCGTGCAGGGAGGACAAGGTTCGTCCAAAACGCGTCGTTTGAAACGTATGCATTCGTTGGGCCTATGGCCGCCTCAGCTGCAAAGATCAAATGGATCAAAACCCAGGCACAGGTCCAATGAATGCCCAGCTTTTCATGTGCCCAACAACAATTCAAACACAGTAAGGCCTTTACCAAAAACAAAAACAGTGAGGCCTTTTTTTAAATGAAGTATTTATGCACCTGATTAATTCCTTATATAAAAAAATTCTCAAGGGGGAGCATTAGGAAGAGGGGTAATGATTAAACTCCAGAATATGGAGACTTGTTATATCAGCGTTAGCTGTTATGTGCACATCAAAAAGGATGGAAACTTTTGATTGCTCCTTAGTATAAAATGGATTAATTGTATTTCTAGTCAAATGCAAAGCTGTGTCATTTCATGCATCAGCCAAACTTGTGAAATAATTATACTCCCTCCTAAATATAATATCTCACTTCATTTTATCTTTCATTGAATCGTTTTTTTTTTTGAGTTAATTTATTTAACTTATAAAGCAATATATAAACTTACAGTTACACATAGATATTTTAAGGATATTATATTATATTTATTATAATTAACTAATTTATTTAATTTTTAATCTATCCAGATTAATTAAATAATTCTTAAATAGTGTGGTGAAAATGAAATGGAAGACAAAAAAAAAATGAACGTCTTCTTTTCTGTTCAAAAGAAATTTCGTGTACCTCAAGCACGGAAGTTCACTAGCAATTAGCATCTCACATATCAACTATTTTTCACTTTCCTATTTAAAAGAGAAAAAAAATTAATACCATCTCTCACTTGTGTATGTTTTCAATTTGATAAAAGTGTCATTAATATCACTATAGAAAGTTAAATGAAGTAATGAACATTCAACGGGATTTGAAATATTCGACCCAAGAAAAAAAAAACGGATTTTCAACGAAGCAAAAAAACCAAAAAAGAAAAAAAGAGCTGAAGCTGATGAAAATGTGTCAAAGATCAATTCACGGCGGGGCATTCGGGTGATATTATGCATTTTTTTTAAATTTAAATCATTTTAATAAATTAATGGTGCATACAGGATATTGATAGTGTCATATATTATATTGATTTAAAATAATATTATTATATAAATTTAATTTATAAATAAAAAAAGGAATCGGGTAAACCTTTATTATTTCAAATAATCAGGAATCGGATAAACCATAATTCAACGGTGTAAATGAAAAATACGTTCGGGTTAGGATGAATAAATAATATAAATCCAACTCCCAATTGAAGGTGTTGCCCCTTGTTTAACATCACACTCCTCATTTGAAAAAAAAAAATCTTATAAAACTTGTGCCTTAAGAAAAGAAAAAAGAGAGGCTGAGATAAGCCAATGATCATGATTATGCAGTTTAATAGCGAGCTAATTAAAGTAGTAGCCTAAAGGCTAGCAGAACCAAGAGACCAATCTTGGCACTCATCACTTTGATGAGCACCTTAAACTTATCAGATCTGGATCATTTATATTTATTTTGGATGGTTCAGATTTGATTTTTTTTTTATTTTTATCTGTTTAAAATAATTATTTTAATATGTATAGAATTTAAAATAGAAATAATCTCTTAATTATCATTTTTTTCAAAAATATAGTTTTTTCTATTTAAAATAATTAATTAAAGATTTGAAATCTACATCATTCAAGATGGTGTAGATTTGATGAGTTTAAGGTGCTCATCAAAGTGATGAACATTGAACCGTCTATAGTTAATTTGTTTAAATTTTTAATTAATTATTTTTAAATAGAAAAATTATTTTTTGAAAGAATTATAGTTAAGACTTAAGAGATATTTTTATTTAGATTTATCCATATTAAAATAATTATTTTAAATAAATAAAAATAAAAATAAAATCAATCCGGATCATTCAAATGAAATATAATGGTCCAAATCCAATGAACTTACGATACTCGCAAAATAATGAGCACCACAACTGATTCCGGGATTAGACCTGCTATAAATCAAAATAAATTTATTTTTTAGGTTAACAATGAACAATGAATTATAATGAACAGATCTATTTGTAATAACTTGTGTCTCTAGGAATAAGTTTTCTCAAATCACATGTCTCTTCAGAAAAGGGGGGTCTAATCTAATCAACTTGACAAGTTGATTAGAAACAATCCTCAACTGGGATACAGTAACCCATTCTTCATCCTTTGGGTTTTGCCGCATTTGCAATTGGAATGAGACGTGTTAAGTATTATATATCACGTACGTTATTTCTGCAGAAAGCCACGTCTAAATCTTCATTGTCATGCCGACAAATATACCTCGTCCAAATCAAGTACGGATCATGATACTAAAAATTCTACGAGTTTCAACTAATTACGCTGCTACGAGGTCAGTGACTGCACACTTGATGCAAGTTATAATTAGTGTGTCGAGATGACAGGATGTACATTCCACGTAAACAAGCTAGTGATGAATAATGCTAAAATTAATGATGTTAGTTGGGATTCTAATTGACTGCTGGGGTGAGAAAAATACTAATCCCTATTCTTAACATAAAAATTAATTTAATATTTAATTTCGTCTTAAATATAAAACTCTAAGTTATTTTATTTTTCATATTTATTTTTTTCTAAAGTAGTCATGATAGTTGCACATGTTAAATATTTCATCAAATAGTTGTTTTAGCTAGCATATATGATTGATAAGGTATTTTAGGAAAGACAACGCCTACTTATTACAAATAAATAATTTAGCTAATTTTTTAATCTACTCAAATTAGTTAATTAATTCTCATATTAATTGGACTTGGCTTTGTTTGCATGTGCATGATATCTTGTTTAAGTACAGAATGAGTCTTGCAGCTGTTAGCAACTTGCCTTGAAGTTACTTCAACTGGGGCAGAGCACTGATCGGCGGGGGAGAAGTAATTTAGTTGTAATGTTAAAGAACAGGTTCAGTCATTTTATTTTTCATATTTATTTTTTTCTAAGGTAGTCATGATAGTTGCACATGTTAAATATTTCATCAAATGGTGTTTTAGCTAGCATATATGATTGATAAAGTATTTTAGGAAAGATAACGCCTACTATTACAAATAAATAATTAGCTAATTTTTTAATCTACTCAAATTAATTAATTAATTCTCATATTAATTGGACTTGGCTTTGTTTGCATGTGCATGATATTTTGTTTAAGTACAGAATGAGTCCTTGAAGTTACTTCAACTGGGGCAGAGCACTGATCGGCGGGGGAGAAGTAATTTAGTTGTAATGTTTAAAGAACAGGTTCATTTGACATTCTAATCCACTTGCATCAAGGCGAATGCTTTTAAACTGTAATGACATGAAAGTTTCCTTTATGAGTTAAATGTTACGGATTGGATTCCCACGTCGTAGTTATAATATACTATTTTAGATTTTAATATAAAAGTTAGTTTGATTTTTAATTTGTGCTAAATATAAGACCTCGATCTACTTTGTCTTTCATATTATCTATTTTTTCAAAGTAGTCCTTGTAGTAGTGCACATATTAAATGTTCATCAAATGGTAGTTTTACTTAATATATATAATATCAATAGTATTTCAGGAAAGATAATACTTATTTACTATAAATAAATCATTTAGCTAATTTTCTTAATTTTTTAATTAGTACACTAAATTTTATATTAAGGACCGAAGACAATATTTGGATGAAAACATATTGGGAAAAAAAGAAAAACATCAAGCATGGTGATGGGAGCAATGGAAGAAGTTTCTTCCTGAAATCTTTCTATACCTTGAGAGAAAAATTTTAAGAAAAGATGTGTTGAACCCCACCCCTCATTTCTTCCAACTTCTTCTTTCCTCTCCCATTACTTGTATTGTCTAAACAAAAAGAATTCAACTCTCTCATATCTTTTCCTTGTGTTTTCTTTCTTTTCGATTTGTCCTCCTATTCAAATATGGTTTGAATCCCCGCTAATTAAAAAAGATATCCATATTTAGTGTCAAACAGTATTTTAAATAGGACTGTCTTTAATAGAAAAAATTGGCGCCTGTAAAAAAAATATGGAATCATGTGCTTGGCTCTCAA